TCTAGATAAGTGGGACATTAAAAGTTGTTAAAAGCTTTTTAAAAGATCAAACAGCGTTGCCATGGCAGCAGTGCAAAATTCAGGTTTGTTTTTGCAGCTTGCCATCAGACTTTGACATGTAATAATTTGCACAAACTTAAAGTGATTTCACTGAAACTTTAATCGTTGGTGAACACTCCATTATGTAATAAAAGTTACATAATAAAATCTAAAATGGATGCAATAGCGCCCCCTAGGGATATTGTAAGGAACAATAACATTTTACTTTTTTGTGGCTGTACAAAATTTGGTGCATACATTCGTGACCTGATCTTGATGAAAAAAGTCAGTGACTCCCACACATCATCTTCCATTGTGTTATTATGGCAACAGGCCAAAAATCTGTCCTTGCCAATGGAACATCCCGACAAAATCTTTGGCATACCCAAACCAAATTTGGTACACAGATTTACCGTGGGAATAGGAACAAAAAAGTATATTGTGACCATGCCTGCTCCCAAACCGGAAGCTCGCCATTGCCAAAAACTCAACACATGCAAAACTTGAGATAATATAGATAGGGCTAGGGTGGGGGCTAGAGTTGGTGTTACAGTTAGGGCTAAGGTTGGGAATTCAGGTAAGGTTAGGAGTTAGTGTAAGGGGTTAAGGTTAATTTAGGAGTTAGGGCAAGGGGTAAGGTGCATTTATAGGGCGCAGTGTGGCTGGGATGCAGTGTGGCGTGGGCAAGGCACAGTCATGAGCTAGGGCTGATCATTGCCGCTTTCGGCTATGTTTTTGTATTACTTTTAATGTCAAATTCCAGATTACGTAAGATGTCAAACTTCTTTGCTGCTGTCCCTGAACGTACTCCTAAATGAGACAAATAAAGTTTGATTATTTGATCTGATGGCTGCGTCCTGAACTTTCCCGTCATGTTTCCTTCGTGGTTTCCTGTCTCCTCGAAACCGTTGAGACACCACTTAAATTGGAGAATCGAGGAGAGGACTCTCGGAGAAGGAAGTGAGGAAAGAAAAACGAGCCACGGACAATGGAGTAGGAGAAATTGATGCTGAAAAATATAAATAAAACATCTTACCTTATTGTCTTGGAAAAAGGCAGCATCTGTCGAAAGAAAACTATATTGTATAACAGTAACAAAGTTAATTTAAGACAGGCATTTTTGGTGATTTGCTGACTTTCTGTATAGGTGTCTGGGGGAACAGTATTGAAGAGTCGGATCATACAATTTTTCGTTAGAACACAACAGTTACAACTTGCTTCCTTTGTGAACATATTTTAATTTATCAGGTCTTTGGGGCTACTATAATGCATAATAAGCAATGACTAATTATCAATAGGGCTGCAAAATGAATTGCAATTGAATCTAAATTGCATTAAATGAACGCTATTAGCAAATCACAGAGGCTACAGTTTTTGAAGTACCATAATTTTCTCTACAAACCACAAAAGTATTATTCTGCATAGAAACTGCTAACACTGTAGCTTAGGTCTATACAAACATGTTCTGAAATGTGATTCTTGTATGTAGTTTTTCAGTTCATATTTCAGTCTTTTTTCTAACTCTTTTGGGTGTGTTTAAAATGAACTTCGAACAGAATCATATTATGAAAACATACATTGCAAATCAAATTACAATGGAAGTCTGGAAAATTTGATATTTCCCCCAAACCATTATCAATTTTCAATATGTGTTATTTTTTCCCCCCAATGGCCAATACAGTTCTGCCACATTAACTTCCTAAACCTAACCAGTGTTGGGAAGGTTCCTTTTAAAATGTATTCCCCTGCAGATTACAGATTACATACCCCAAAATGTAGTTTGTAACGTAATCCATTAAATTACTTAAAGTGAGTAATGTAATCTGAATACTTTGGATTACTTGATATTGTCATGCTTTTTAAAACGACATGAATGTAGCAAACACATCCTGATAGAGAAATGATTTTTATATGAGATCACTGCTGCCTTCAATTATGTCCACCTACTGTTAGTGTCATATTGTTTAGTCCTGGTTTAATCCTGGTTTAATCTTAGATTAGTCCTGCTTTAGTCCTGCTTTTAGTCCTCATTTAATCCTGGTTTTAGACCTGGTTTTAGACCTGGTTTAGTCTTGGTTTTAGATCTAGTTTTAGACTTGGTTTTAGTCGTCCTGGTTTTAGTCCTAGTTTAGTCCTGCTTTAGTCCTGCTTTTAGACCTGGTTTAGTCCTGCTTTTAGTCTTGGTTTAGTCCTGGTTTTAGTCCTAGTTTAGTCTTAGATTAGTCCTGCTTTAGTCCTGCTTTTAGACCTGGTTTAGTCCTGGTTTTAGTCCTAGTTTAGTCCTGCTTTTAGACCTGGTTTTAGTCCTAGTTTAGTCCTGCTTTAGTCCTGCTTTTAGACCTGGTTTAGTCCTGCTTTTAGTCTTGGTTTAGTCCTGGTTTTAGTCCTAGTTTAGTCTTAGATTAGTCCTGCTTTAGTCCTGCTTTTAGACCTGGTTTAGTCCTGGTTTAGACCTGGTTTAGTCCTAGTTTTAGTCCTGGTTTAGCCCAAAATGTGAAAACAGGAAAATACCACCCTGTAATCCATTTATTTCAACAAAGTAACTGTAATCTAATTACCACTCACTGAAACAGTAACTGTAACTGAATACAGTTACTCATCATTTGTACTCTGATTACGTAATCCCAGTACAAGTAATCTGTTACTCCCCAACACTGAACCTAACCCACCGTAACCATAACCTGACTGATTGCATGCTGATTGTATTAACTGTTTAATTAACTGTGCCTAAACCTAACCCACCGTAACCTTATGCCCCCATACAATCTCTCCCTTTAACCACAATGTAAATGTACACATATAGTTCTACAAAATCACTTCCATTACTTATGTAAAACTCATTTACTGATTTGAATTTGCAGATTTCCTTGGAGTCCAGGTCAGTTCTTTCTGATATAGACCGTACGGTAATAAGCCAATCACAGTGAGGGAGGCTGCAGGGGAAATGCCTGCTAATGTATGCAGAGAGACACACACTAGCTCATGATTGACAGCTTCATCTGTAAACATGAAAGCCAGCAGACAGGATAGTGCCTCACGGTCCTTTATAAGCTCTTATTGATGCAAAACGCCAGCTTCCTCTATATTTCTGTCACAGCCAATCACAGCATCAATCAGCCCCAGCCATCATTTACATTGAGCCATTTATATCACATCAGAGATTAAACCAATAGGCTAATCAATTCAGATGTCATTGCTGTGAATGTGTGGGGGAAAATAAAGAAAGCGATGAGAGATGTTATTTCACTTTTGATGAAATCTGGAAGATCCTTTTTCAAATGTACACTGGATTTAAATATTCATGTGATACCAAAACATTATTTTAGCAATCAGGGAATGAGTTTAGACTGGTTTGTGAAATTTCGCTCCAGGTGGAAAAACACTGTATAAATAAAGAAGAGAAAGATAATTGTGTTTACTTGCAAAACGGTGCAATTTTGAACCCCTGCTTATAAAATCATTTTTTCTCTCCAACTAAGCCCTCTACTTTATGAATTTTAAAACTGAACAAACAAACAAACACACAAATAAATAAATAAAGCAGTGCACTTCTATCAAATGACCATTTAGATGTTACCTCTTACTGTTTCAAAAATGCAATATTCGCCGAAAACAATGTAGGCTATTTAACACTTCAAATTAAAACATGTTCCTGACTCATGCAAGGGCGTAGGTTTGCATAGAGATGGTGGGGACATGTCACAGCCAATATCTGGAGAATACAAAATAGTCCCTACCAATATTTGCCATTTTATTTTAATAAACAAAAATATAAAGTATAAAAATAATATAAATATATTTTCCCAAACTCAGTAGTATTAATTTAACACGTTTTTGTTCACATTTTGTTTATTACACATCACCCATGGCCTTTTCATTGGCTGCAACAGAGTGATGTCATTAGTGGTGACATGAGCCTAAACTGAGGAAGTGTCAGGACAGGGCCAGCACCCGACGATGGGGACTTGAGCAGGTGTGAGTGAAGATGCTGCACCAAACTTTGAAAAACTTTTCAAAAGGAACTTACTTGGCTTCATCTGCAAGTAAACTTGCCTTATAATGAGTCGCCGCGCAAAAAGAGTGACTATCGCCACAAGGGAACCTCTCAAACGGAGTCCTACTCGTACTCGTTAGCAGCCCGACTCTAGTGACAATATTCCATGGAAACATTTTTGGACATTACCTCACAAATATCTCATCACCAACAAGCAAAGGGAAATCTGCAACAAACTTCTACATCGCGGTTATCCGGTAAGGAATGATCTTAGAAGGGCAATGGACACAAACTGTACATTTTGAGAACTGAAAAATGAAACTACCTGTCACTTATTTTCACCTGTCTTGGGTTGCTGATAATGTCCCCACCAAAGCTGAGACCAAACCTACGCCCTTGGACTCATGGTTCAAAATCAGGTATTGGCCCTATAATCCCAGAGAAAATACATACTGCCATACCCTTGGGCATGAATTCTAAAAGGTAACCATTTAATAGTTTGTGAGGTAATCTAAAACGCATAGGCAACTGTTCACAACTAAAAAATGCAGGAAAATAATAGTTTATACAATTCTAGTGAACTTTGAACTTAATAAGACACAATGCGTTTTAGTGTGTGATTGGTTTTCTTGGGTTTTTCATTATAAATTCTACACAGTTGGAACAAAAACATGATAAAGATACATCAAGACACCAGAGGTCACAACAAAGTACCACAAAATGTACAGCATCCAGTAAAAACAGAAGGAAAGCACTGAGGATATCGCATACAAAAGAAGAAACCGAAATTTACCATCAAAATCCTCTGGAAAAAAATGAAAAATTAAAATGTCAGTAGTTCCAAAATGATTAATCCCCTTTCTAGAAAAAATGACAAACCACAATATCATATACAAAACATAAATTTCTATTGTCACCTGCTAATTTTCACAGGTTTACTAACAGTCATTATGGCAGCAATACACAATTTCGGAAGAGAGAAGTTTAATAATAAAAAATACGTTCCAGTGTACAACATAATTTAAAGGCCACATTCACTTGAACATACCCACTGGCCTGTTAACAGTGTAGAAAAACATACGTACCATCATGTTGTAACTCTCTTATTACAAACCAATTACAAAATGCATACACTGTTGCCTGGCTCTAAAACTAATCAAAAAGCAATGATTTGTAAAATGATCAATAATTGGATTCTCTTGTGCTGTGCTTGTAACAGTAATGGCAGAAACAGTATCCCGTATACAGTCCGAGCTTGAGTGACCAAAAAACATTTTGCGATTGGAGTGATACAAATTGGGTTGGTATGGAATGGTTTCTAATGCTACAAGCTACACACAAAATGCAAAATTCTTTTACATTTTGTCAACAGACGGATTATTTATTTATCAACACAAGTGCAACCTGAGAGCAGAAACCGCTCTCTGCGCGGTTACCATAAAGTTGCAACGCTAGCTAGCGATGTTGTCAGCGCACTAAAACCTTTATCACCATGTGATAAAATAAGTTCTGATCATAGAGCGTATATATGAGTGGACATAGCTAACACGCTAGCCGCCGCATGCCAAATAGGAAGTTCAACAGGACTTGACTTACATTAGGATCTTTTGGCCCCTCTCTCTGTAATTGCTGCTGTGAGAATTGTCATTTTGGTTTAAAATGTTCGTATTAACCCACTCTACATGATCTTGAGTTTTGTTTTTTTTTTGCTATTTTGTCCGTCAAAAAAATCTTAATCATAACATAAAGCCTGGCTCCTGATTTGCTCCTGTAACCGTTCGCCTCATTTGAGCGGTGCTGAACACTATGGGTGACGTCACACTTGCTTAGTCTACTTCTTTTATACAGTCTATGGTTATGGTGCTAAACTAACATTAGTGAGTTAGATTTGTCTTAATGACCCATATGTGTTAAAAGGAGCTGAGTGCGTAAGTGAAAAGTGGCTCAAACTTCAGTAGCTGAACATCCACTCATATCTGATCGATACAACTAGCCCTGCCCCCTGGGAGAGCCAGAAAATGTTGAAATCCTACAAGACACTGGCATGGTACAAGACAGGACGGTGGCTCTTTCTGCAGGAGACACGCACAAAAGACGTCGATCTCTCTATATTAAATTCAAATTAGTCTTAAAAGAGCCTGGTTTTATGTAAGCCAGTACTTACTGAACAGGCCCACAGACTGTGTAAAAAGCGGGTTAAGGGAGTGGGACATCAACCATAGAATTTGGTTCCAGTCAAATGAAGCTCATCGAGTTTGCAGTTATATGTGTCAGTGCTTACTTCCTATTTAGAAGACAGCTAGTGAGCCACTTAAGTCTATGGATGGGCCTTGATATAACCAATTTGACAATGATACATAGTAGTAGTAGCCCTAAATGAAGAACACTGCTAAGAAAGGTACACATTATTATGAAAAAAAAAATGTTGTGGTTACCAATTTGTGTCAACCCAATTTGAAACATACCAAATGCAAATGGGCCTTGAGTCATGCACAGTGTTCAATAAGAAGGACCATATTAATTTGACAAACAATGTAACACAATATACAAAATGGCAAAAAAAAAATCATGTACAACTTGTAGCTAGTTCAATTTTTGGCTGTGCTTTCAATGTGGGACATTTTGGAAGGAACAACAATGGAGTTAAGGATGGGAAAATGGTAAATAAAAACTAGGGGAAAAAACACAGATGTCAAGCATTTGGAAATTAGATTATGTTTGTTTTTGGACATTAAACAAAAAGGCAACCAGTGATTTTTCTCCCTAAAACATGCCTTGTGTATGTACAGAACAGACATTTTACAGTAAGTGCAGATTCCATAGAAGCATAAGTGATAAACATTCAGTCATCTCTCAAATCAAAACAAAGCAGTGGTTATGATCCGTGTGGCTGCACTATCTTCTCAAACCTGGAGTAGATTAGAATTTTGGAAAAGGAAAGTAAAAAAAAATCCATTTAGCAGATCTAGTCCAGGTTTGACGCATACTATGCAAACTATATCGTGAAAGTTCCAAAGTTTGTATGAGCAAAAAGTAGTCTGGTCCAGTGTTCCACCTTTTGCCATCCCCTGGTTCTCCTCGAGTGAAAAAAAAAATCGCCTCTTCGTAGCTGTCTCCGCGTTCCCTTCATCCCTCTGCTAGTCACGTTCAATGTCCCAATTCATCACTGTTTGAGAGAAAGTGGAGACTGGGTTTTAGTGTTTCATATTGACAAAATGGAAATAATGATGTGTAATAATGTGTAACTTTTTACATTCTAGACTGAGGTAAGACCAGAACTTGTACAAAAAAAATAAAAAAATGTTTGTGGTTTAGTCAGATTAAGGCATTTGGAGATAAAAATTGTATGCATTATTTTGTGGATTAAATTCAAAGTGCCGTAATGTCTCCAAGAATATTTAATTTAATTTATTTATTTATGTACTTATTTTTATCATTGTAGGATAGGATGCCAAAACCATAGCCACAAAACTCATCAAGCTATTTAACCTTGAACTTCAATGTAGTAACTTTAAATACCAAATCTGAGTACTACATCTTTTCCATTGTGAAAAGGCCATTGCTCAACAAAGTTTGTTTTTTACCTTTACTTTACACTAAACATTATTTTCTTATAACTATAAAATGTATGTATTTTGATAACGACTGACTTCAGAGGAACAACAACAAACACAAAATGACATCTACACTTCTTGTTACATCTATATCAAAGAAGAAATACATATACATAGACTGCAATGTCACAGAACGCTGACAGAAGAATCACAAATCACACAAAACAAGCCTCTCTTACACTCAGTCTTTCATGTGCGTGTCAAAAACATAGTGAGTTATACCATAGCATTTCTGACTAGTCTCTTCTGCTTCTCACTTTGAACTAAGAGCTCAGTGCAAACTCAGAAAGAGAACTGGTGTCTTTGAAGAAGCTGTGTGATTTATGTTTGACCTGAAAATGTCGACATGACCATTGCTCAAAAAGTAAAAGAAGACACACACTACAACTAAACCATTTTTATATGTCTTTAACTGTACTGGGTGGAATGTGGATTAATATAACATCTGGTTTAATGCTTGTTAATGCTAGAGAGCATCCACAAATCATAGAAACAACTAGGGTGGTCCCTGGATATTTCTTTGTGTGCTGTTTATACATCATCAGGTCTTCTCAAACTATATTTACTCTTCAGGTCTCTCACTTTTGCATTCAATAAAACACTTGGAAACAATTGTGTCTGCTTCAAGCTGAAAAAAGTGGTCTCTGTTACTATTACTCATCTTAAATGTCCCATATTACGCAATTTTTTGATATAACCGTATGTTGTAATGTTGTTTCCTCATCAAAAACATACCTGGAGTTGTGTTTTGTTTCATTCACACATGTTTAACACACAAATCCTGCATATTTAGACTCTTAAAAGGAAAACACTTGTGATGTCAGGAAGTGCTCCACTGTGTTTTTAAAGTCAGTACACCTTCATTAGAATCATTTGGACAATTTCAGTCCAGGAATTGCCCATCTCTGCAGAACTAAAGGTAAAAGTAGCTGTGAACTTGAAAACTACTGCTTCATGACATCACAAGGTGAAACAGAGCATTTTGAGCTTGGAGGAGAAAACAATGTTCTAACATGGCTTAAAGCTCGTAAGAATCAATTTTGCATAATTTAGGACCTTTAAAGCTACCATCTGTAACTTAATAGTAATAATTTTTTTTTTACCAGTGGATGGCCAATGTGAAGCCTGTTCCCAGCAATAGCCTAGATAGTGTCTAGTTGTGTTACGTGAGAATGCAACAGGGACAGGTTGGCCAATCTAAATACAGATGGTAGCTTTAAATGCTTTCTTGATTTGCTGCCAACTTCTTGATTTTTGGACATTCTTGAGACAGCTGTGATTAAAAGCTTCTTGTTTTAATAAGAGCAATGAACAGACACTATTTCTTGCCAGTCATTCTTAGTAAGCCCATGATTACTGCAATATATTTTCAGAAAGCAATTTCCGACACACAGACTAGCCTTGACGTGTTCAAAGTCAAACAGAAAATGAACATAATAAAGGTGTGAATGGATAGATCTTATCGTTAATTGCTGATTTTCAGATGACATGACATTCTATAGGCCTATATTGTGTTTGTCTGCTACATAGTTGTAATCTCTCTATATATAGTTATAATCTAGTTTTTCATTATGTTATTTTTAAATCACAATACTGATTGAAGTGATTTAAGAAAAGAAACAAGTTTGCTGACTTCTTGGCTGGAAAACTGACAAACCCCCAATGAGATATTAGGTGCCGATTCTTGAATACAGGAAAATTAAGATGACTCAAAACATGCGTGCCTCTTTCGCCCATTTGAAAATACAACATCATCATACAGGAGCTGACCCCCACTCATACCTGCTCAGTGGACGGTCTCTTTTTGAGTAGACCTGACTCTTCATTGGCCTTCTCTGTCTTCATCTCCACTACGATGTCATTGTTGACCTCTCCACTGGCCCTACAAACAGCAGGGGATAATACAGCATGAACAAAGACTCTATCAAATATTTATCAGTGTGGAGTCTGGCCCTCTCTCTGCTCCAAGGATACAGAGCCCAGTGAGAGAAAAATTACCACAAATGGATGTTACAGTGTTTACAATGTTTATGTTGAATATTAAATAATACTTAGAGTCAGTGGTCAGCTTTTCTTGACTACACTCAGTGGAATAAATTAAATATGGAACCACAAGTAGAACCACCCGTAGTAATGATTCATACATAAATAATTACAAGAGCGGTGCATGAGAAAAGACATTCATTGCAATAAATATAAAACTGAATTAGAAAATCACAGAAATACAATATGCACTTTGACCTCATGTTATTTTTCTTAACGCAAATGTTGATTCAGTATTGAGTCTTCTGAGATTGGTTTGGTTATGCATAAAATCTCATATAATTATTTCAGAACCAGATAAATGCATGCATAATATGTATGGATGACTTTTCACCGATGAATTAATAGAAAATTGACTGCAGATTGTAACACAGTGTGAAATATTGATGCAATCGCTTAAAGGACAATTTTTCTTATATATTTGAGCAAAATGTGTCTTGCCCAGTACAAAAATATTGTATAAGCAGCTATTGAATTCAAAATATGTCCAATGAGTGCTGTGTGCATCTGATTAGAAAGCGTTTTATCATCCAAAGATCAGGAAGTGAAAGTTAGTAAGCTAGTTGTTTGCAGGTCATGTGAAAAACACTTGTAGTGCATTATGCCATTTGGAAAGGTAAGGTAAGCACTGCAAACCATTTAAAATGATCTAGTTCTATTTGCACATTTTAGAGACAGTAAAAATAATGTACAGCGCCTTTAATTAAAGCTAAGTCATTGATAACAACACATACGTACGAACTACAATATTTCAGCTGTAAAGTAGCCATAATAACTGAATAATAATAATCTTAAGAAATTGCTTGCATGAATGTTTAAATAAGAAATGCATGATCATAACTTAAAATGGGGACAATGATAGTTAAATATTTTGGCGATGTAACAATAACCGAAATATTGATATCGCATCGTCAAACATCTCACAGTAATTCCGTGGGCTGTTACAATATATCGAATTTCAAGTTCCTTTGCTTAAATGCATTTTTTTATAGTAGCAATAGCTAATAAATATCAGGAACTACATATCCCATGATTCATTTCAGTGCAGACAACATGAAGAGATATGTTTTTTTACTTGAATTCTTAAGATTATGACAGTAATAACTCACACCAAATTCTTGTCAGGGTATTTTAAAAGCAAAAAAGTGTCCTATCTACAATTATATCAGCCTCTCCAAAATATCGCAGTAAATATCATACTGTCAGTTGCATATCATGAAAATATCATACTGAGAGATTTGGATATTGTTACATCCCTATTAAATCTGTATCATTGCTGCGGTCAATGGGCACAGGGCTGCAGTCTAGTTGTATTTTGACATGAAGGTACCACATCTTTATAAACTATCTCTACTCACATTTCCTTCTTGTCCTTCTTGCCACAGGGGAGCTTGTCCTTCTTGTTGAGGAAGTAGATGAGGGCCACGAGCAGCAGCAGCAGCAGGACACACACCACCACCGCGATCACCACCGAGCTGGAGCCTCCCTGCTGCGCGTCGGCTACAGCGCCACATAATGGATGGGTGGACACATGGGAGGAAGGGAGGAGGGAGAAGGAGGAGGGCGGAAGGAGCCATGGTGGGGGGGGTGATCATCGAGAGGAGGTACGGGGAGGGAGGTGAAGTGGATTCGGATTGAGAGTAATCATCATGTGGGGGGGTTGATTGGTGTAAAATTGGAAAAGGAAGTCATGGGATGATTTGATTGGTTGGGGGGTAAAAATGAGGCGGAGGTAAAAAGCAGGGTTGGAAGGAGGAGGAGGAGGGGCAAGAGGGCAGGGGTTGGGATGCAGGGTTAGTCTACTTTAATGCAATGACTTGAAATGCGATGGGACCCAGGAAGAGGGCCTACACCATAGCATAGTAACATACAAAACAGCGCTAAGAACAAGCTAGAGAACAAGACATACTCACCGCCCACCTGTGCTCGTATTACTGTACTTATGTGAACAGGCCATCATTAGGGGCAAACTATAAAATACATTATTATATTATGTTCTTTTAATTTTGGAAATGTCGTGTTGCTAAACATAGAAATAAAATGTTTCCTTCACATTTCACTTTTTGTGTTTCAAAAATTTACCTTAAAAGATAAGGTAAATTTTAGCATGCAATTTATCAAAAATGTTCAGGGGCCAGCAGCGAAACGTGTTGATCTTATCTCCACAAAGTTGTTGGTTTAAATCTCGCTCTGAACCGGTCATACAGTTGGTATGCTCTTGGGCAAGACACCTCCTCGAAAGATTCAAAAGTGAATGAATAAGGCAATGTGAAATAAACCTAAAGGTTGAACTATGATCATCTAATGTAATTGAACAGTATTCGGCCTGTCCTCATAGCTACGGTAATACAAGCTTTGGCACACGCTAGCTCTGTAAACACAAATGCACTGACCTATGTGTGTGTGACGCGGACATCTCTACACACACACGCACACACAAACTAGTTTACACCAAAACAAAGGGTTAGCCATACAGACCTGACTTAAGCACAGGGTTTCCAGAGAGCAGCACTTATAAAGAAAAAGAGAGTTTCTCAGTCCCAAAGCATCACAAAGCCATGGTTACACACGTAGGCCAACATACACGCACAGCCAATTCCACAAGTGAATGCACATAAAACCGAACACACAACAAAGCAGTGAAACAACATAAAACAAGGTACAGAAGTGACATGATAGGAGGCAGTCAGAGCGCTTACATGCAATTAGCCTATGCTGCTAAAATTGAAAAAAAATTACGTAATAATAATAATTTCACTTTTCCAGAGCTTACATGCACAGATAATTATTAAGAATCTGAGTCTAAACCTAGCCACAAAAGCTTGTCTTGATTAACTGACATACATTAAGTTTTAAGGTGTTTTTTTTTTTTTTATTATTATTATTTTACATAAAAACAAGAAAAATGTATTTAAAAATGCATAATAACTTAGCTATAACACCATAGGCCTTTATATGTCTTCAGTCAAAAAAATTGTAGCAGATAATTTTATTAACTAAATTAGCAATACTGAGGTATGTCCCTATAATTCCCTTCTTCAGTGCTAAAACATAATTCAATGGACAACAATGAAACAAGGACTATTTTTTTGGTTTTGCATGTAACCGCACTGACCAAGTAAAGAAGCACAGAGAGGAAAAAGAGGGTTATAGAATAGAATAGAATTTTTATTGTCCCCGCGGGGCCACAAAAATTTTAGTAGCATCCACAAAATATCAGACAGACATCATACAAAGGTGACAAGAGAAAAGAATAACAATATACAATATCCACAGTGTTCGGTAGCAAGAGGGCAAATATACAAGAATACAGTACAGCTGGGGAGTGTTTGCGTGTACATGTAAGTAAATGTGTGTATGCATGTGTGTTGTGTGTGTGTTGTGTGTGTGTGTGGGGCCTTGTAATGGTGGGAGGGGGGGTCTAATTTACAGGGACTGTGCAATAAAAAGTCCTGAGATAAGGAGGGAGGAGAGGAGGAGGAGGGAGAAGGCTCTACCTCTGTCGGCGTTGTTGTTAGCTGCTGCAAGAGAAGAAAGGAGGAGAGGTGGTTTTAGAGGAAGAAAGGATTAGAAAAGTAATAGGAGGAAGAAAAGGAGGAGGAAGAGAAAGTTAGTCACGTTACGCAGTTACCTCTTTTTAGGGCTACTGCGATCATCTTTTGATCTTTGCCATGTTCATTATTGACTTCGCAGGAAACGCCGGACTTCATGATTTCGGGAGTGGCCTTCAGTGTCACGGAGCTCACCACTTTGTTGCCTTCCACCATTACAGACTGCAAAGAGATACATTATATAGTTTAGTAAAAAAGTAAAAAATAAATCTTAGCAGATAGCAGGACTTTCCCAAAACACAAAGCAATCCTAAAACACGTGAATGTGTTTAAAAAAAGTCAAAAGCTGAGTGCGAGCTGCCTTCACTGGACGATACAACTTCTCAAACATCTGGCTGAAGGGACAGAGTTTGAAGTATGGATACTTGGTAAATCAATCACACTTCCCTTTCACTATCCTTACTATTTTCTTTAGTCCTTCAGGCACTTCCTAGTTTAGTAGTTCTATTTGCAGTGTGATTGTTGGAGGAAATTAGGAGTTTCGTCCTGCTGAGATTTCCAACATTTCCATTGGGCGTACCTCTTTTCCTGCAGGCTTCCAGGTGAACTGCGGTGCTGGAAAGCCGTAGGAAGCACACTTAAGAGTCACCATGTCTCCTTCCTTAGCAACCTCTCCAATGCCGGGTGTCTCAATCATTGGCTTTCCTGGAGATCAAATAAAGTTTAGGAAAAAATCTTCATTGTGTTGTGGAGTCAATAATCTAGGAAGCAGCAGCAGCTAACAGACGCTTCCACCAACTATAAAACTTCCTTCCTATGGTCTAACACGCCCATATAGGTTGGGTTCATGTGACCTCCAAAGACTATAAACTGTCCCTTTCTCAAAACTGAAGTGGGAATTCAGGCTAGAATAATGGTACAATCTTATAAATGCTAAAATGTTTTGACCCAGTTTGTGGTTAGTATTTCTGTAAGCTCGTTCTATTTGCATGAACCAAAAACTGGAATAAGTTTTTAAATAATGAATATGATAATTGTTCCCCTCTATAAAGCAGCTGTTCTCAAACTTTTCATGCAAAGTACTACCTTACAGAATGTTTGTAAAAGTCTGAAATTACACTGAACCAAGATTAAAATTTAACCATGCATGAGGTAGTGCTAAACAATAATTAGCCCCCCAAAATGAACTAAAATGTTAAACAGATATCTGTCTAAAATAAATAAATAGTCAAAATGAAGAGGCAAACTCTCACAGGTATACCACCCCCTGATGCAATTTGTGTACCACCAAATGTACACGTACCACATTTTGAGGAGCGATGCTATATGCTCTGTGCACAATGAGTTCCTGCAGCTTCACTGTTAGCATCACTACTTTCTGTCCAATTTTATCTCTATAGGATTTTTGCAGAGTCATGCTAAAATGAATAAATATTTAAAGATAAGGCAGTGACAGGGACCTGTGGGTAGATGTCACTGACAATATGTTAAAAACTACACAAGTAAAATTAATACTTCAGCCTAGAGATGTTTGTGTATCAATGCTAACGCTAATGCTAATTTTGAGGCATAATAAATGAAGCATAAACAATGCCTGACAAACAAACTGAAGCATTCTGTATATAAAAACAACTGGGTAGTCATTATTTTAATTAATTCGAATTTTAATACATTGTTTATTTTATGTTTAATAAAAGTGACTGACAGCTTTAAGATTTTCAGACTTATAAACTGGATCACACCCGGGTTGGGATGGTTAGTATAAATAAAATTGTCAAAGAGAGTGTAACATTGTGCATTTTCGCATTAGTCATAATCTGAGGGACTTACGACGCTGCATTTTTTGCTTTATTTTCATTCGCAAACACAGATTTCTGTATTTTGGCAAAACAAATGACAATTTATGCTCCTCATCAGATTAGTCAAAAAATTGTGATAGTCCTGGTTTAGTCCTGGTTTAGAGTTGATGTAGTCCTGGTTTAATCTTAGTTTAGTTCTGGTTTAGACCTGGTTTAGATAAAATTGGTAAAAAAAAAACAAACAATAGGGACACCTGGGACATTGCTTGTATAAAAGAAATCAGGGGACAAATCACTGGTTTTGTATAAATCTGATGGGACAGGGGACACAGGACTCAAAACTGGGTCTGTCCCAGGGATGTCTGGTCACCGTAAAAAACTGTTAGCCCTCACAGAGTTACATAGACTCTATCTAAAATAATACAATTCTCAAATATTTTGGTATTATCATGAGTGCAACCTAAGTAAAATAGACTGGGCAGTTGTTTTAGTACCTTTGACAGTGAGGTTGACAGTAGCATGGCTCTCCAGTCCAGGGACAGAGGGCACAGCTCCCACACACATGTACTGTCCTGCTTTTTCATAAGAAACCTCCTGGATGGACAGAGTGCCATCCTGAGAGAGCACCTCGGAGCCCTGGACAGAGAAAAAAGAAAGCTGATGCGGAAATGTAAATATTACATTTAATCAGTTGAAAAATGTTTTTACAAGCAAGTCTGATTTTTATTTCAACACACTGTAGAAGTATTCAAATAATTATTCAATTGTGGAATGGTGGAAAGCTGAAATGAAAATAAAAACAACACTTGCTCTCACTCCTTATTCCCAAACTGCCAAGAAAACAAATCAAAGTCTGTCCAACATGATAAACTGTCTCTCCCTATTCTCCTCCTCTGCTTCTCACAGGAATGATCTCTTTCTCAGAGCAAACAGCTGTCTGTGCACAAGGCTTGGGAGACATTGCACTACTGTAGATACACAAACTGAGGCAACAACATCGTAACAACACAAGTCTGCAAGAGTCATGTAAGACAACACAACACTGTAAAATAGGCTCTGTACAAATGGGCAGGTTTACTTATGCGTTCCACGGTCTTGCACAGAACTTGTCAGTGTAGTGTGGTTTCATGGCTCAAAAGTACCTTACAAAATGTGCATCCCATACTGTGAGTGGGATTGCCCCTCCAAAGATCTGACCTATAACCTGGTGGCATATTATTACATTTAAACTACTTCTGTAACCATAGCTGCAGTGGGCTAGACTAATGAAAGCAAGGCTGCCAATATGCCCCATCCGTCCCTATGACCACCACCAATCATTCAAACACACACACCACATTCAGGCAGGTGAAGTTTCTTGCCTAAAGACACAACAACAGAACTTGGTCTGAGCTGGATGCAAACTCTTCACTGTATAATGTGCAGCTATTTATATGCTAACAAGAAGAATACACATACAAATAACATGTTTTAACTGTGCCTCTAAATGCAATATTTATGATTAAGTAATTAATGAATAATAAATAAATAAAATATACTAAAAATGCATCTTCCTTTCAGTGGACTCTTAATAATACATTGATTTTGCACCATTTGGGAAATCAGTTCGCTCTGGCAGCAGCATAGTGCACATTGTATAAAAATTCAATTTTCTTCCCCATGAAATATTCTATTACTTCTCTTAGGCCAATTCTCCTCACAGTTGCAACCTGAATATATTTGTTATGGCAGCATTGTTTTTAGCCTGAAAACTGGTTTAGGTACTGTAGTTGAGCTACAGTCAAAATGTAATTCTGAAGTTGACTTATGAATATGTCATGTCCAACTATGCAAAAGTGAGATGAGGTGAACCATTTTTTAAAAAAAATGGTAAAAGCAGTAGCTATAGTATGTCTTCTTTGTGTATTTTGTGACTTTATATGGAAAAGGTCATATGGAGGTAAGAAAAGCATGCTGTACCTTCTTCCATTGAACTGTGTGTGGGGCAGATCCTTTAGTCTTGCACTGCCATTCCACTTTGTCTCCGAACATCACCACTTGGGGTTCGGTTGGGGTCACGCTAACTGGGTCGATGTCTGTCAAAAGAAGAAAATGTGATAAGTAATACTGTCATAGCATGTGGTGTATGACGCTACAGAAAAGAGGATTTGAAGTTTTGGGAGACAGAATGTTCCAACTAAGCCCAGGGTAAAGTTAAGCTCATTTGGATTCCTAAGCTTTTTCTCCACTATTTCTTTCCCCTCCTAATTTGAATGATATGATCAAATTAGGGAGTGGAGTTGGGATAACATTAAAGAAACAGATGGACTGTGCAAAATTGAAGTGGATATCTCTCAGCTGCATGGAATCCATTAAAACAGACTTCTTTCTATTCTGATAAATGACATGGAGCTGAAGACTGTTCTGTTGTGGTAGAGCATGTTTTTACAAGTACAATGTGAAACTTTTCTAGTAAAAGGAGCATAACCCGCTAGTATCCATGGAGATGTTATTGGCCTTGGCCTGGAATGTTCCACAGTGTTATATAAAATGTAATGTATCTCCATGGACGCAAGTAGGTGATGTGACCAGGCCAAGTTCAGCATCAGATATGTGGAAATGTGACTACATTAACAGTAATTTTATTTATTATTTTTTTTATATATTTGCATTAAAATAGTCTGTAATTAAATCGATGCAATAAAATAAATGCATGAGTATAAGGTCATACAGTGGAACATTTATCTCTATGGTGACCAGAAGGAGGTGTACCCTTTGCCAGAAAAGTTACATAATACACCTTTAATGTATCAAGTATCAAGATTTAAAGGGCCTATATTATCCTATTTTTTGATCTGTAATAATGTTGTTTCCTCATCACAAACATATCTGGAGTTACGTTTTATTTTATTCACACATGTTTAACCCAAAAACCCTACAGAGTTCTTCTCTCAAACAGAAAACACTGTGTTCCACCTTGTGATGCCATGTAGTAATACATGAAGTGCTCAACTGTGTTTTTAAACTCCACACACCTTCACTAGAATCATTTGGATAATTTCAACCCTGGTATTGCCAGTTTCCATTGAATTTGGGATTAGCTTGAAAAACCAGCACTTCATGACATCACAAGGTGGAGGAGCATTTTGAGGTTTGGGATCTAGACAAATGATCCCAACAGAACATGTGTGAATGAAACAAAATGGGTATGTTTTTGATAAGGTGAGCTTTAGACCATGTTAGAATGTTGCTAGACAACAGTTACAAGAATCAATTTTGTGTAATATAGGACCTTTAAATAGATTTAGAATATCTCCATGAAGACAATCAGGTTTGCCACAAGGCCTTTACAGGTCAGATCTGTGGAGATGTAACAACACCCACAGTAAAAGCACCTATTTTTGTATCTACTTGCATTGAAATCATCTGTAATTAAATAAATGCGACATTAAATGCATGAGTACAATGTCATACAGTTGAACATTCATCTCTATAGTGACAACAGGTGGTGTAAACTCTATCAGAAAAGTTATATAATACACCTTTAACTTATCAAGATTTAAAGTAACTCACAGGCAACAGCCAGGCTGATTTTTCCACTAAGGTCAGCCTCCAAGTTGTCAAAGTCTGTAGCGGTACAGAGGTATTCTCCAGCATCTGTGCGCTTAACAGACTTCAGGACCAGCATTCCGCTTTCTCCTGGGATAGACTTACCCTAAATGAGATAAAAGACAATGTAAAAAAAAAAAAAAAAAAAAAAGAATAATGCTAGCTTATAGAAAAATACAGTAATCATGATTTTGTATATACTGACGTACATCTTTGGTGAACTCAAACTCGGGCTGTGGGTTACCATCTGTCTCACATTTCATAGTGACAGTGTCTCCCTCTTTGACTGGAGCTGTGTTGACGAGACTGAAGGTGGCGCTCTCTGAAGGATCTGGTAACACAAGGATGGAAATTATATCAAGTTATGAATTATGAAATAAGATAAGGTATAATAATAAATGTTTGTGAAATTCCTCAGTCGTCCAGTTAGGAATCAGTTAGAATTGTCACAATTATAATTTTCAGTCTTTATGATTGATTATATTGTGACCTGAATAATCATAATTTTGTTAACTGAATAATCTAATCTAATAGACCTTGCTGTTGATGTTGCTAACTACTATGTGAGCTAGTCAATACAAAAGATTTGAATGAAATACACATTATATACAAATTATACACACATTTTACTACTCTAAAACTCTAATTGCATGCGGTAGATACATATAAGAAATGTGACTTACAGTTAAGGTTGATTTTGGTGCTGTCAGACTTCTTCTGTTTGACCTGTCCTCCTGGCATCTTGTACTCCACTATGCAGTAGAACTCTGAGTCTTTGTCTGCTTTTGTGGGGTTCATGTAGAGCTTACTGTGGAGCGTGAACAGCCCTGATGACTCCTTCACCACAGAGGGAACCATGTAGGTCTCTGTAGGCCACCAGAACTCAGGTTAGATAAAAACGAATAATTATTTTATTTAGATTTGATTCAGAGAGATGGATCAAGACATACTTTGCTCTCTGTCTTTGACCTCTGGAAGTGGCTGGTCATCTTTGAACCAGATAATCCTGGGCTGAGGGTGGCCGTTCCTGGTTACACATCTTCCAATCTGTAAGGTCAGAAAAAATAACATATTTAAATATATAATACTTGTTTTTGATTCATTCATTTGAAAAAACAGTATTAAAACAGCTTTATGTTTGTTTCACAGTTTTTAAAGCATTTCCTATCGCACACTGAAGATGAAAAAAATCACACATGCCCTTACTCACTAATACTGTGCAGTTTGAAGCCTAAATTAGATGATCAAATACTAATGTATGCCTTTGATTTTAGTAAAATAACTGTATTCCGAATGCCATCAAATGAAAAAGTAACTGTACCAGAATACAATTACTCAAAAATAGTATTCTCAGTAAATATATTCAGTTACTTCCCAACACTGACTGTACATAATTACTGAGTTTGCTGGTTGCTAAGGCGACACTTTGGTACATTGTCCTCGTAGGGGTATTTGCCCACTGCATTTGACCCAGTTGAGGTTATCAAGATGATGCGCTTAATCGTTTGTCATGATTATTCAGGTCACAATGTGGGAAAATCACAAAATAAATGTCATCATTCACTTGATCTTATGAAGCTAGTCACATACTAGGGAAATGGGGATTTATTAGACAATGTGAATCAAAGTTACTGCGTCAAATATTCTTAAAATATTAAAACTGTTAAAAAAATATTTGGTCATATTTAGTTGAAAGATGGAAATACTGGTTATGGGACTGTGGTGTGAAGTGATGTCTGTAAGTGCACAGTTTTTTCTGTAATGATTTTTGGTGATTTTCTGGCATAAATCTTTAGAAATGGTTAGAATTTAGGTGTAAAAATAAAAATGCAGTCCCGAAAAGAGGATAAAATAGACAAAAGAATCTATACTTTAATAGATTTTACATGTCTAATTAAATTTAGCAAATTATATAACAATATTATTCTGACCTCGGAGCTTGAGGCCTGGTCCACATAAATGGCTTGGCTGGAGGGTTTGGTCAGTTCCGGTTTCTCAGGGGCAACTATAAGAGAAAAAGGAAGTGTTGTTAAGGAGATTCTTTTATTTTCAAAACCCACAGTTCATCACATAAAGCTCCAGCTGTGTGACCTTATTAATTAAACTGGGGGGGAAATATCCTGCCTCCCTGCATGACCTGTTCTCCTGGAGCTGGTAAGGGTCAAGTCACAAAAACACTCCTCCCTAGCCCACAGGATCACACACAAGCTCCACCAAGTGTCCAGTTGTTTTTCTTCCACTTGTTCAAATGCAAGGTCAGACGTTTACTACCTGCAGCAGCTTTCCGCCTCTGGGGTGTAGCATAGGGATTTGAAACAAGACTTAGCTGGACCGTTCTGTAATGTCAATCACTATTTCATCTTTTCACTGTTTCACTTTTCACCTCTTGTATATAGCCCAGATATATTTTGTACCACTGTGCAGTTATTATGTCATATTTGACACCAATCTTACTACTTTTGACACTTATTTTGAATCTCTATTATAATTTATATTTGCTCTATTTGTTATTATATTATACGTATTGTGATGAGTGAGGTACTGCATCCAAATAATTTCCCTTGTGGATCAATAAAATGTGTCTAAGTCTATTTTGCTTCATTGAATAGGTTTTGGGAGAGATTTTCATATCACAGCCGCAATTATATGTTTAAGATAAATAGTACATTTGTGAATGGCAATTAGAATGCTCGCAATTAGCTGCTTACAAAGTATATAGTTGTTTAGGTAATATGATATTAACGACAGATAAGCAAATGGTCCTGTGTCTATCCGGTGTTTTTCATTCTTCATTTTATTGTGCTATCTAGCAGGCATCTTAAGGCTAATCTTTTACAGTTTATAAAGGTTTTATGTTTAAATGATGCTGTGTTTACGATGACTTGAGAAAAATGATGGTTCTACTATGGTTCTATACTAGCACTGAGTTAATTTAAAGGCTTTGTACTTTGTAGAACTAGTTCATTTTAAAGGGTTTGCAGTGGTCCAAAATTATTACTTGCTTATTCAGTTTATAAGTGCTTTTCACAACTTTCTTTCAGAGGCCAGAGCAGAGTTTACTGTCACAGTAACGCTAACAACAACTACCATGCTGACCGTGCACTTCCTGATTTTCGGATAGTTAAACGTTTGCAGGCTTGCAGACTGTAAGCATCTGACTTAATTTTACCTCAAGATCTGCTTATAAAACATATCTGTGCTGGGGAAGGTTTTTGCTGAAATACTAGTACATGGGAAATACCACAGCTCACACATGCTCTGGATAAGCTAAAATAAAGTGTGTTTTTTTGTGTAACAGTGTAACATCTGGCACATTCACATCTTGCATCTAACTAGTCTTGAACAGCTTTTGTGAAAGCAGCTGGTTTTCTCCTATTGCTAATCAGTGTTCTATACAGAGCTTTTCTCAAACACCACTTTACACAGTGTCTCAGACTGAAAAGCCCATTTTATCACTTTAAAGTCAGAGCTTGGGGGGAATAAATGTCAATAATACTTCCTTTCTTAACTCTCCTTAGAATGTAAAATCAGATAGAAAGTTAAAGCGGTGCAGTCTAGACAGGCGTGTGCTTAAGGTAGGATTAAAGAGCTGCCTGCCAGTTTGCACCAAGCTAAACTCAAGGCTCCTCAGTGATATATTTTCGTTTTTTATTATGGTGACATGAACCATACATGACAGATGAGATTGAACTATCAGTAAGAGTAATTAAAGAGGGGTTAATTGACCTCTAGGGAAAAAATGAGTTACCCCCAAGTGTAAAAATATGATAAAGTCTTCAAAATCATCAAAATAATTCAGATGTCATTGTGATATTGTAATATTTCTCTCAATCTGTCTTTAAGCACTGAACAAAAGATAAAAGGTAAAACTTGAAACCTTCTATTTCATGACATCACAAGGTGGAACAGAGCATTTTGAGCTTTGGAGATGTAGACAGACTAATAATAAAGGATTACTCATACATGAATGAATAAAACAAAACACCACTCAAATACAAATACATGATTTTTCAGTTTAAATATATACATAATATAATGTCCACAAAAGTCCATGAGATTATAGATATAATTTTATAATAATGATAATAATTTCTTTGTCAATATTGTCACATTCCCTGTACAAAACCCTTAAGAAATATATGCATGAACAAACACATAGCTCAAAGACATTTAGTGCAAGTGACAGTTCAATCATAAATCACATATATGGTTTGAAAAGGTCAGGTAAAGGCCATGCCAACAGTCAGAGGTCACACTCACAGAATACTTTGAGCTCCGTAGCAGCCTCATTCACGCCAGCTGGTCCCGCGGTAACCTGGCAGTAGAATTTGTATTCGTCCGAGGGCTGCACAGATGTGATGGTCAAGGTGAAGTCCTCCCCAATCGAGCTACGACTAGACAGAGGGGTGTCCCCATCGGTTTTGCTTTGACCCCCCTGACTGAATGCAACCCGCTTCCTGTTCGCATCCAGGTCCTCCTACGAGAAAGCAAATAATATATATCTGTGGTTAGAATTAGGAATGAGTTGTGTTCACAGTGACTGTGTTTACATGCACACATCAATTAAATCATTGTTTTCTGGAGTTATCAGATTATTAAAATGCAGTGGTGGAAGGGAACGAAGTAAAAGTAGTAAAGTTCTATACTTAAGTAAATGTTTTAGGCATCTGTATTTTACTTAAGTAGATTATAGAATGGAAAACAGACCCCCCCTACCCCCCACCCCACACCCCCACATTTGAAGTCTTATAATATTTCAAAATGTGTGCAAAATACTTTAACTTTTTACTCTTTAAGTATTTTTTTTAATTGGTAGATTTTTTCATGTGATACTTTGACTTAAACTTTTTTTTTTTTTTTTTGCTCTGGTATCTGTACTTAAGAAACAAGTCCCCTAAAACCTTGGGGCCCGGGACAACAAACCTCTTTTTACCCCCCGCCTACTGCCCTGCATACGTACATAAAAAAATTAATAAATATAATATAAAATAAATACTTTCACTTACAATGTACCACTCGACTACGATGGAGCTGGCTGCCGATGGGGTGACAGTGTGGGTGCAGGGCAGTTGGGCCGTTTCTCCTTTGATCACTTCTATTGTGGGAGTCACTTTGACAATCACGGCTCCACTGCAAACTATAAAAAACACAAAACACAAGGTTATTAATATGATTCATATGAGCAGTGAGATGATGACAAAGTTAATTTGGTAGAAAGCCTGGGGTTGGAAGAATGAGAAAGTCAAGGGCAGAAAAGTTGCCAAAGGATGTGTCAGTGTGCATAGTGTGCACTAGGGCTATGGGCTAAAACTAATTACAATTAAATAGAAATTATAATTTGAATAGACGCCATTAGCAAATCGGTAAGGCTGCAATTTAAGCCCCATAATTTCTTCCACAAACAACAAAATATCCTCTTTTATTCTGCATAAAAAAACCTGCTAACTCTCTAGTTTAGATCTGTACAAACATGTTCTGAGATATGATTCTTGCATATCCTTTATATTTCAGTCTCGTTGTCAGTTCTTCATGAGACATTTTAAATGTGAACTTTAAACAAAATTCTATTATCAAAACATAAATTGCAAATCTATCCACAATTGCAATGCTTGTCAGAAAAATCACAATTAGCCTATGAACTAAATTATAAATTTAACGTTTGCAAATTTTAAATCACTTAAGATACAATCTTATTAGTTTTATTATGTACACAACCTGCTAACCTTGTAAATTACACCCATAGTAAACATATTCTGAAATGCATGGGAGTCTTTTATCAAAAAATAATTCTTCTTTAGGTGAATACTCATTTGAAAACACAACCATTAATGTATTTTCTTCTTTTCATTATAACATTGGCAACCAAAAATAATAATAGTATGTGTAATATGCATTTTCATTTGGCTAAACCCACTTCACTTCTTGCCTCGCGTCATTACATTAAAGGGTTGGGGGACGGACACCATGAAATCAGAATGACTGTAGCGTGTCCCCTCTGTTACTGTACTGAAGGCTGCCATGTTTGTCAACTGTCCTTGGGGTTTCCGGCAGTTAAGCGGGGTGTTACAAGCTGTGGGGACAGGACTTTATCAGCACACCCAGCACGCCTTTCCTCAAACGCCCTGGGCTGTTACATACACCTACACACACATACACACACTTTAAACACTGCAGCGCCCTGTGATTACACTGAGCAGCTCCTTGACTTGAAACATATACTGTATACACCCACACAGGGACAATAAAGCAAACATACAGGCAGATATTAGGCTTTAGAGACGACAGGTGATAAAAGAGGTGTGCCTCAGGGAACGGAACATGGACCGCACATGTTTACAGAAATAACCTTGAAAGCAACATAGGATAAGTATGATAAATACTTATGGAGATAAATAGAGACTAAAAGATTACATAGATACTTACATTTTTAATGTTTAAAGGTGTACAATATGGTGTGTATTGTTTGTCTTTTGTCTTTTATCAGTTTTTTGAATAAACAAAAATAGTGCAACAATTTTGTAGTGACCTTATTCTACAAGTTGTCGTGGGTGCCGCCGTTGTCATTTGGGTTGTATTATTTTGTATGGGGCTGCCAATCTTAATAGCAAATAGGTTCGATATGAACTTTTAAATCCTCCCAGACAAATAATAAATAAGTCTGCTTTATATCATATTTTAGGTGCAAATCTGTTCTCAGATTTCTCAAAAAAAGTACTGTAAATAATGAAAAGCATCAGACTTTGAATAAAATATAAAGCAGTAAAAATATGGTTAGTAATGTTAGTATTCTGTTCTGCACTATGTTTCACAACAAAACCAAAGAAAATTTACTTACTCATTACTTTCTATTATTTTAAATCTAGCTAACAATGTCCACTAAGAACTCAGTTAGTTACAGGTTGCAGATTAGATCCATTTCTTCTAGTTTGGCTACAGACTTGTTACCAGGTTGTTTATGAGCCCACAGGAGAATCCCCGAGCAGCAGTAAAAGTGTGAAGTGGCCCAGAGGACAGAGGGAAGAGCCAGCTGACTAAAACAGAGCATAGCTTCTTTTCAGACCAGACATTAGGATGCACAATGTGTCCCAGATCTAAGCACTGAGACAATAGAGGGTCCAGTGGGACAAGAAAGTCTAAGGGCAACCTCACTTACATAAGCTAATTTAAATAGAAACGCAATAAGAGCTGGACAACATAAGGAAAACATGTTCTCAAGATTTGCACTATCTGATTTGAATCAACTTGAAATGGGTGTTATAAATGTCTAGAAATGTTGTTCACCACATTGCAGTGTTATGTGTTGTCTGATTTGTTTCGTTATTCTTCTGCTATGACATAGAGACTTCTAAGTTGGAAATAAATAAATATATTAGCAAGATTCATTCTGGATGGGTTAACAAATGATCAGTTTTGACTGAGTCACCAAATCAGTACTAATTGACAAAACAATGCTAACTCCAGCCACATGGGGTCAGTCTAGATGCAAATTAAACTATTTTTTACCATAATGATGTGAAAAAAAAGTAAACTATACCTATACCTAATTGAAATACATTTATTTGTCAAGACCATGGTTAAAAAAATATATACATATATTGAAAAAATAGAGTCCAGATGAAACCTTCTCTACACTGAATCACACTTGGACGAATGAAGGATTACACCGTCTCATGGCAATTTTAACAACTTTAGTCATATTTTTCAAGACACACACCTTTGCAGAAAGAGACGTCAGTACAGTGTTAATAATAGATGCATCGTCTTCTCTCTTAATCCCCAAACTATATCTATGCTGAAAATTCAGCAACCTTAAACTTAATACATTCCAATTTTACTAACATTTGGGACATTTGGATTGCTAATGAAGACCACAGCCCCAAATATGATTCCATAAATTAACCATGCGATCGATTTCTGGACTACGAATCTTGTCTTTAAATAATTTAGATGTGTTTATATGCTTGCAGCAGTGGAAAGACAGACTTAGCTTAGCGTAGAGGTTTTAATGAGAGACCAGCGAACTGCAGAGATGAAAGAGCGGTGGTGGGATTTTATGAAGAGGAGCAGATGGACACCTTGTTATCACTGTACAGTACGCAAGCAGTAGCGGCTGGGAGGAAATGACATGGCAAACAAGACATACAGAAGAGATAATTAGGGCCGATGTCAAAACTGTATGATGGTTTGAAAACTGTAATATGACAACTAGGGTGATATAGGTCAAAATGTTAGCCAATTGCAGCCATTTGGAGCCATTGGAAAACATCACAGAACACACTGGTCATATAATAATAGTGTTGGTAGAGATACAAGGCTATCAAGGGATCATTTCAGAGCTACAATCTCAGTGCATTGATGCTCTGGTGGAGGTTCTGTCAAATGCTTCTCTCCATGGAGATGTTATTGCTTTGACTGGAATGTTTCACAGTATGATAGTAAACCTTGCTATCTTTATGGGGACGAAACCAGGTCAAGTTACAGGTTAAATCTGAGGATTAAATGCTCACAGTCAAAATGCCTGTTTTTCAAGGTATTTTTGTGCTATAAAACCATGTGTAATTTAATGTTTAATGTCATGCTGTGGAACATACCAGCAAAGCAATGGCATATCCACAGAAACAAGCAGGCGATGGACCCCCAACCAAATGCACTATGTAACTTTTCTATTGCAGGGGAAAGTACTAGTTGCTTGTCTCTATGGAAATTTGATTGCTTCGTCAGAAATGATCCACACTGGCTTTAAGCTTGTCTAGTGCCATAGAAACATGCAGGCGTCACACTAAGCCAAGTTAGAGGTGAGATCTGTGGAGAGGCGAGTCCAATCACAGTAATCAGTGTATGTTTTTGAAGCACTATGTTAATTTTTCTAGTGAAAGGTCTTATCAACAGATTGTCTCCATGAATATTAAATTTTTTTCCCCCAGCAATGTTACACAATATGTCATTAAACCTAAACATCTCCATGAATACAGACAGGTCCACCAGTCCAAGTTACAGGTCAGATCTGTGGAGAGGTAATGATGTTGACAATAAAATTTCAGATTTTGTATTTAGAGCAATATAAACACATAAACTGAATAAATGCAAGATAAAAAGTATGTTGCCACACTGTGAAACATTCCAGACAAAGTACTATCATCTCCATGGAGACAAGCAGTTGATGTACACATCACCATAAATTTATATAGTGCACCTTTGTTATGGCTTGAGATGTTGAAAAAAAAAAAAAAAAAGGAGAAATTATGATGCCTTGTGGTTATAATTATTGCCTGTCAATCCATTTTTTTCTTTCAGCATTTTCACTATTCATTTGTCTCGCCTTAGATATGAAACTTGACTCAACACAGCTCAGACTAATTCATCATTGTTAGCGCGTTAGATCCCACAGGCCTGTCTAGACTTCCAATTTGTCTCCCTTGTTCCATCTTGTCAACATGTATCCTCTCTGTGCTCTGAATGAACTAACATTCACTGGTACAAATCCACTCGCATGTGCCCAGTTTGTTGGAGGGACTGCGCCCAAAAGAGAATCTCTCTCTGTTGTCGTGCCAACACAAACAACCATCCAGATGAGCAAACGGACCAGAATGTGTGAGTAAACTAAAGATTTTTTGGAGTGCGGTAAATTTGACATGGGAAAAATACACAGTCAGACACACACACCACAGTGAATTAAGCAAGGCAGACAGGCCCTAACCGGGTTACCTGGTACTTTGAAAACACTCCCAGTAACAAGATGAGAAATTGTACTGCCAAAGCTGCTGCTATCATTAGACAGGGATTTTATTGCATGCTGAGTTAGGTTTTAGCATGTTAAGACTATATAATACTCTGCTGAGCTATGTAATTTTTCAGTCTTTGCACAGATTTTTTTTTTTTTTTCTTGAGTGTAAGATGCCAACTTTTTTTTGGCACAGATTTGGAAGTAGGTTTGTCAAGAAAAATCATTTTACAAATTAGAGATAGATCGATATACTGGTTGGTCGAGATATATGGTCGATATTTGTACTTTTTGTTTTCTGCACAATATTTAGTTTTGGTCAATCATCTGCTTATGCACAAAACTAACTGAAAACTGAAAATATTTGACGACACTGCTTTTTTATAGATTCGTGGTTTAAAAAAGGGCAGTGCATT